AAAAAATAGGAAAAGCCCTAAAGCACTAATCAAGAAATTAGTTCCCCTATTAGTGCTTTAGGAGAACTGTGCCCTCCACTGCTTTTCTGCATTAAAAGTGCCTTTCTAGATGTGTTACTGCCAATAAAGGCACCAATGCACCCCTATACCCTCAGAGAAATAGGTTCAGTTGATTAGCATCAACACTTTGATGTTTGTTTTATTTTCCACTGTGAATAAAACCTGGGTTGATGAGTTTTGTAGTTTTCCTTTCTCTTTTTGTACATTTTAAACAACATCTCAGCTGTTTTTGGAATTGGGGTTTGTACATTTGGTGATTGTGGTGACATTTTTCAAAAATACATCAAGCAGCCCACTGGTTCAATGTTTTTGTTTTTATTTAATTTTATATTTTTTTTTTACCACTAGGGATTATTAGAAAAAAGCACCCCTGCTATTATTCCAGAGATGAGCTGAAATGTGCCAGAACTTTCAAAAATAAATGTTTTGTTTTTATTATTAAATCCTGAATGTGAAAACATCTGGTTTTTAAAAACCATGTAGCTAACCAGCTAAGACATAAATCCAAAGCAACTTCAGAGACCYGATATCAAGTTTCACTGCAACGTATGAGAATTAAAACGTGTTGAGGAGGACATACATAAACAACATGGACTGCTGCGAAAAGAACCTCTTTTGGTCCTTGGTAGAAAATGCACATTCTAGTGGACCGGGGCTTCAGAAGCAGTCACAAAGCTCCACAGATACAACAAGCTCTCTGCAGAGACGGTAAGGCAGTTTCATGATCACCAAGGAAACCACTCCACTTTCCATATGGCAGGTTTCTATTCTTTTCTCTTATTTTTTTCCTTTTTTGGAAAGAAAGTAGAAACATAATAAACAGAAACTATGCAGACTAGTTATTGTTAAAGAAAATAGCTGCCTTATAAAAATTTGCTCAGTAAAAATAGTCAAACTGTTTTTTTTTTCTTGTTTTTTTTTTCTTCTTGTGGTTGTTGCTTTTTGTTATTGGTTTGATTTGTATCATATTAGATCAGCTGGCTTATTTATGCTTTTTAACAGTTATTGTATTTGATCCAGCTGGATCTAAGGGCAAAAAAACAGACGACATCTTGAAAAGCACTGAAGCCAGCCTGCAAAGATGCAGAACAGAGATGTGAAGGAAAAATTAAAAATAAAAACAGAAACACCCAAGATAAACCCAAACTAAAGCAAACTCACAGAGTTCGACAGCTACTAAGGCAACTTTTGCCAATTACAATATAAGCCCATGTATATTGCAACACAACAATATATTAATTTAATAAAATACACAATATAGCTTTTGTACACATAACAATTTGGCTCAAATGCACAGAAATTGCAGAAAAATCAATAAAAAATATGTCAGTTTTTTATGTAAACACATCTAAATTGGATACATATACACATATAATGATATTATGTATAGTGATAATGTGAAGGGACATTTTCTTGTTTCTTCTCACTTTTGGATATTTGTCTTCAGAACAATGGCAGTGTCCTTTGCAGTTCGTTACTTTGAATATCCTGCAGCTGACCTTAACTACAGGACACGCTGTTAAAATGCTCATTTCCTACTTTTTTTTCTTAAAAAATGTATAAATATCTGTTGATATTTGGAGACTATACATGGATTCATACATACAGCCATCTATATTTACCATATAGATATTATCTTTTCACAGTTGAGGAAAAAAAATGTCCCTTTTTATACAACGTCTGATTGCCTTAAGGCGTAGTCACACATGATAATTCACTGTACACGAGGGACTAAAAGCTGATGATGTACATGTAGGAGACAGTTCCACAGATGGGCAGTTGTGTGTAAGTGTTCTTGTGGTTTGACGTGTGTGTGGCATCAGTATGAGCAACATGTAGTGCACATGTGGGACAGCAGTGTGTGTGTGTGTGCGGCGACACTGCTCAGCAACATGAACATTTAAATAGAGGTGTGAGACAGACACAGCTTACACATGTAGTTACATATGACAGGTGGAACATGGTTACACTGTTAATAACTCCTTCAGAAGAGGACTGAACCCCAGGTCCATAACAACACACTCCCCCACTGATAAATCCTCCACTGGGACAGGTCTGGTTCATCGCACACTACACCTATAGTAGATTTAATTCKAAAAAAAACCCKAAAAAAKAAAAAACAAACATAAGGTTTATTGTGTATTTCGGCCTTTTCGCTGTCCTGAACAGATTAGCCTTTGTTTCTCTTTTTCCACATCGATTGTCACGTCTGACCATAAATAGTCCCTTTTTTTTTCTTCCACTTTTTGATGTCCAACACAGGGAACAGAAAATCCACCTACACACAAAGTTATGTAGGATTTCACGAGAGACCATGAACAAKACACACATGAGCTGGTGGGCACTTAGATAAGAGCTTGCGAGGTGCCAGAGGCAGAGACCCCTGCAGTTTGCTTAACAAAAAGTCTATAAAACCAGAAAAAGTCACGTCAGTTCCATTGTGTTGGTAGTTTCAGCACCGGAGCTGGTGCTGCACGACTGACGTAATACAATGTTTGTCCAACGTTGGTACTTTTTCTACAACAAATACAGTGAAAACAGCCCCTATTATAGAAGCCAATTTGTTTTGGTGAGAGTTTTGGCATGGGAGTTCTCAAAAAGAAAAAAAGAAAAGAAAAGTACTCCTCTATTTCCTTCTGCTGGCGTCCTGTGTGTCACTTTCTGAGCGTGCCGGTGGTCTCGCTCTCTCTGCAATCCTGTAAGAGTTTGTCGATGTCCCTCACAACCTGGTCAGCGTCCATCCCGTCGCGGCTGGAATCCGGCTCCGCCTGCTCCAGGACTCGCTCCATTTCGCCCGCCGCTTCCTTACTGATCCTGGACCGGGCCTCCGCYAGCACCTTGGCCACCGGGTCCGAGGGAGGCAAAGGCGGGTAGACCCCTTGGTCTCTGCTCTGTTTGGTGGGCGACAGGTACTGGCCGTCGGGAGGCCCGTAGTGGCCGGAGCAGCTGGCCGGAGGAGGTCTGCCTTCGGCCCCGTCRGCCGGGCCTTTGACCGAGGAGCAGGGAGGCATCACGGAGCAGCCCTTGGTGGGGCTGCCCGAGGCCGAGGGGACCTCCTGGAGCAGTGGGCTGAGGGCACGCTTCGCTTTCAAGTAGGGCTTGACGTTGGCGACCAGGATGGTGTGGTCGCGCCTCTCTTTGCCAAAAGTACAGAACGTTTTCTTGCCGTTGGGATTGACGGTCTCGTAAGTCTCTGTCTCGGGTACCGCCTCCATCCCGGCTGGCACAAACATGTTGTTGCGGTAGTCTACGCCCTCCGCCTGATTCCCACCAGCAGGGAACTGAGGCATCCAGCAGCGGTCGGAATGACCCAGTACTCTGCACTCCTCRGTACAATTCACACAATCCTCATCTGCAGATAGAAACAAAGGGGAAAGGGTGGATGGAGGAGAAAATATTAATAACACTAATGTGCCTAAAACAGAGTAAAATCACACAGTGAGAGGGAAATTCAATAATCCTGCTATCACTGGTGGGCACTAGCCTGCTAAAGCGCAAATCCGCTAATTGCGGACCTAAATATTTTGTTTGCACTTTAGCGGTCTTACTCATTTTTATAGTTCATAAGCGGATTTGCGCTTTCTAAAATCTTAAAGCAGTATTGAACAGCAGAAGGTATGGCTGTCAATGAAACACAACACGTGATCTATCCAGCAGCACCCCTCCCAGATAAACACACTTATTGAGAACGTATACATCCTTGCTGACTGTTGCTTTGGGTCACGGTTCTGATTTCCCACAATGCTTTGTGTCTGCTTGTGTAGCAGGAAGGCAATAGCAAAAACAGTAAACATTCATAATCCATACTAAAATTTTGTATTTATTGATTTATTTTGCTTTACAATCGGAGCTCCCTTTTTTTAAAAATAAAGTTTAAACGTTGGAGCTCAATACTTGATGTAATTGGTCGAAGCAACGGGGTTAGAAATGATTTAAAGATGTTATGCTGATGAAGACTGACATCTAGTGGTCAACTGGAGKAACTACATGGAAAACTTTAAAATCCAAGCTCTTATTTTGAAG